CCAACTGATTAACTAGGTAAACATCTTCTTATGTTTTTATCAACATATTTCAAGACAACTGGTGCACTTCTCTCTGTCAGTACTTGGAGTGCAGCCCTCTATTAAAAGCTGGGAAACCACTGTCCTCAGGTATCAACAAAATCTGTCTTGCAGCAACAGAATTTACAGTGTGCCATGGGCCCTTTGCTGGGCTGGTGACAGACACTTCTTACAAACATCGTATATATATGACAAACATCATATATTGAACACAGTGACACAGTCTGATCCACATGGATGCACACATGAAGAAACCAAATTTGCTATTTATATAAAGAAACTGAATTCACAACTTAGGTGTTAGATTGTGCACCGCTCTGAAATTATCCAGGGGATCACAAGTCATTTAGCAGTGACAGCTCTTGAAACTTTAGCTGATGGAGGTGACACAAACCAATTTCCACCTGCTGTGCAAGAACTGTAAAACTGGTATTGAAGTGACACTGGAATGTGTGGACAGTTTGAGAACACTAGATAATACTCTATTTTTATTTTAGTTCTGCATGTCAGTTGCCAGCATTTTTACTCTTGCCTTAGAGGTTTTTAAATATATGCAGATTAACCCTTAGGAAATATTTTAGTATTTAACGATAATGTTCAAAAATTATTAAAAGTAAATTACATGATTCCCCCACTTTCTCAAAAAAGTTTTGGACTATGGCTGCAGCACTTTCATGTTTTCTACCAGCTTATGTTATAATTAAAAGCAGAGAATCTGTTTTCAATGCTAGTCAAATATGCCTACACCAGTACAAAAATAAAGACTGTACAGAACCCCAAGAGCAAATGCTCTTAGTTTTGAAAAATGTATATGACCAGAGATCTCAGTCCCACAACTCAAAGTCAGTGGGGAAAAGAATACCTAATTCCCATTAACCCTTTGAAAACCTCTTTGCAGTGAGAAAGAGCAAAAAGAGGGAGAAGTAAAAAGAAAAAAACCCAAACCAGTCCATAATGGATCATGCCTGGTAATTTAGGACTTCATTTTCACATATATAGTGGCTTCTTGACAATTTTAGGAGTGTAAAGGGATTTCAACACAAATCATGGTAAGATTCACATAATACATCTCTTACGTATTGTATCTGCAATTCTGCAATTTTCTGTATTACAGTAAATTGTACCTTTAAAGGCACTTTTGCCTGAGAGACCACTATAATAATGCCAAGATCAATCTAAAAAACTTGTAGATGTATTTAAGATTATTTCAAAATAACCATGTGTGTCAGAAAACATTCTTGCACTTGTATGTAGATTGCAAATAATTTGGGGTGACTTCATTGTTTGATTTTGTAGAAAAGAGGTTATTTGGGACTGTCATGCCCTGCAGTAAAGTAATTGTAATACAACAGTCTTTTGTTGCTGTTTTACTAAAACACCCAATATAAGGTGCTGAAAAATAGCAATTTACTAAATATCACTTGAAGCTATCTGTGGAATGTTCCTATGTTTAAAATTAAAATGAAAACCTTACATATGTGCATGCGTAGGTGTCCGTGCATATATTTATGCATATGTATGTATACGTGGATATATATCTAGTTGGAGAGATTTTGTATGTAGGTCTGATTCAAATAGTTTTAAATTATTATTGGCTTTCTTCCTCACATTTCACTGAGACATTAATTTATAAAATAAAATAGTTTCAGGCACTGCTTTGAAGTGTAACTAATCACAAAATGTTAGGTCTGCACTCAGATGTACCTGCCTCTAAAACTGTTAAGAGTCCCACCCTTTAGATTTTTAAAAAAAACCCTTTTTTCCATGCATTACTCTAATTCACTGCTCTATTAGAACAGGCATTCTACACATCCTGTATAATGACATATGTCTAGAAATAATCCCCATGAGATTGAGTCTTGAATTTGGTCAGACTGATAAATATCTGCAGTTATTTTCAATTTATAATGAAGAATTTGACTTAATAGTGTTGTACAAGTTCATGCAGAGCAACTTGCTGATAATCAAGCGGCTGAAAAATATTTCTTTCTTGGTGGGAGTTCTGTCATATATGCTTTAAGATAAAATTAAATCTGAAAGGCCCATCATTTTCACAATTAAAAATAAATTCTGAGCAAATAAAAGACTTTGCTCAGAATTAATTTTTTTGAGAATTAGAAAGTCCCAAGTACTTCAACATTTTCCAAAATTTTCAGAGGAACATGCACCTTAAAAGCAATTTCAATATGTTTTACTTCAGTGATCATAGTCTTTGGCTAAAAATAAGTATCAGTCATGATCATCAGGTTTGCAAAAATGCTGCATGTAGAGGTGTCTAACCTTGGATGTAAAAGTGGATCAGATTCAGCCTGGAAGGTCTGAACTGGCTAAACAGACCTGTGTTATACGCCACTGCTTTGGAATCAAAACAATTAGTTTAACTGTTTTAACAAAATCTCAGTTCTTTCAAGGTGATCACTTACTAGTATTGCCAAACCAGGCATTGAGGATGTAACATGTAAGCTAAAATTCAGTGGTTCAGCCATGAGCTTTTATCAGATGTTCGAACCAGATCTCTAAAAAAGGGATTAGTAAGACTTTTTTCAACACTAGAAAAACCCTGAAAGCTGCATTTCAAGCTCCTGCTGTTGTGTACTTCAAAGATCAGATAGAAATTTCTAAGATGGATTTTAATTTTATGAAACATTGCTTTAGCAAAAGTCTCATAAAATCTTATTTTAACAATGTCTGAACTATGGGCTAAGTTACATTTTTCAAGAGTACTTTTTAACAGAGCCACACAAACGAAATATAGATTTCTCAGGTAAACAAGAAAAAAATCATGTGGCAATGCCTGGATGGGAAAAATAATTTTCGTTTGTATAATCACTGCTCAAAAATTAATATAGGGGAGCATAAGAACTACAATGGCTGTTCTACTTCAAAACTGAATAAAACAAGAAGTTCCCTTTCCATTGTTTGCACCTTTTTCTATATAATACTAGGCTGAATTGCATTGCATGCCTCTGATCACCAAACAATCTCTCAGCACAGTAAGTTGCTTCACATCAGTTGCCTCAATTCTTCCAAGGCTTCAGTTTTTTAAGCTTATTTTAAAAGTGAATACAAACTACAAGGATAAACATATACCACAGAACAGTTTCTCAAGCAGTGACTTAAGTCTTACAATTTGGGCCATTTAGCTGCCCAGGGAAGTGGAGTCACTGTCTCAGGAGGTCTTTAAAAGAATACTGGATGTGGCACTCAGTGCCGTGGTTTAGTTGATAAGGTGGTGTTAAGTCATAGGTTGGACTTGACGATCTCAAAGGTCTTTTCCAACCCCACTGATTCTGTGATTCTGTGATCTAATCATAAAATTAAAGAGTAAAGGTAACCTGGCTGTATTAGAATGTCCTTCCAGGAAAAGCCTAAACTTTTGTTTAAATTCTTTCCTTTAATAGCCAGACAGCAATTGGGTTGGCAGGCTTTAGCAGGATTATTACAACTGACAGGAGATTGGACAAGCAAACATGAACATGACGAAGAACTTCACAACCAGGGGCTTTGAGGCATGATTCACTCCATATGCACTTAATATTGTTAACACTTGGTGTGTGACATCCCTCTGCACTATGTTCATGTTTGTTATGCTATTTGAAAGTTGCACCAATGGCAAGAAAGATATCTATAACCAAGGAAAAGGGAAGAGAGAAAGAATAAAATGAAATAAAGCTTTCCAAACAGAAGTGCTGAGAGGAATAAAACTAAGACAAGAAAGGAAAACCTGCTTGCAAATAGGGTATTGTCCAAAGTCAGCATACAAAATAGTTTCAATTATTTTGGTTTGATTGGGGATTTTTGGGGTTTTTTTGGTTTTGTTTCTTTTGTGGGTTTTTTGCTGTTGTTTTTTTTGGCTTTTTTTTTTTTGTAGATGCTGGCTGGAAAGACCAGGTGGCAAAATTCATTTGAGTGTTAGCAAGCACACTGAAAGTTGTCAGTGGAATACCCACCTAAATTGCAGAGGGCTGTACACATTCATAGCTTAAAACAGACCATATCTTTGCAAGAAGGGTAGCAACATAACTTTGCACATCTTACATTAATTTTATGGCATGATAGCAGCTAAGCATGCTAAAAAAAAAGAGCAGGTTCTCAGTTCTAAAAACTTAAAAGCCACATTTCCTAGAAGGCTTTTAATCAATATTTAGAGGTACTCATGCAAATACAGGCGCCAGCTTTTTTTCCACAAGGCCTATGGTGCATCAGTTATAGAGTCTCCATCACTCCTCAGAAACCTAAATTTTCTTTTAAGCCTGGGCCATTATAACTAGAGTCACTGCCAAATCCAGGTCTCATGAATGCACAATACTTTTCACTTTTGGTTAGTCACCATCACTTCAAGCCAACATTCCTCTTTTGATGTTGTGCTTGATCAGCAAGTTTTCACAATGCACTTTTTCCCCACGGTGAATATAGTAGATAGCGTAACTAAGCTTTTTGCAGGATTCTGCACTCTACAGTCAGCCTTCAGGGATGCTAAGTTTAAGAGTAAGGAAACAGTAATTAAAAGTGATCAGAACAAGAAGCCTCCATACTATGAAATGTGGACTCAATTGTCCTTGACACTGGCAGAACAAGGCAGCAGGTTTTGGTTTTGATTACAGCTTTACTTGGGATTTTAATAAACATGAGCCAGTATTCAAACTTTTAATATCCTGCTGCTTAACTATTTCCAAAAAGCAATCCAGCTCTTTTAAACAGTCCTTGTTTAAAAATTTTAATTTGTTTGGCTCTGTCTCTGCTTAGAGAAGTTGTAGCCTCATGGTAACTCTTTTATAAGTTCATTTCCAGAATCACAAGCAATTGGTTTTTTTTCAACTAAGTGTTTCCGCATGTGCCAAAAGTGTCAGGCTGACAGCCTTCCGGCACCGTTTTATCTGGTTCCCACATTAAGTAGGAGAGACAAACACAGGAATGTGTCTAGTGCTGACTATGGCCATCAAGGATACAATGATACTTACAGCTCTTCCAGGAAGCGGAGGTTGTGCACAGGGTTTGAGGGCAGCTTAGTGATGTTGTTCATACTGAGATCACTGTAGGGGAAAACAGACAGAGACTTAATATGGCATGCCACAACTGTGGCATCCAGCTGTTCATTCCACACATTTTTAAGTACTACATTAATAAAAATTAGTTCCTCTGCCAGAGTTGATGAATCATTATCTACTTAGCACGTTAAACATTCCTTTTTCGTACGAACACAGCTTTGTCAAACCAATACAGGCTGTAGCATGTTCCTCATTTCCAGAGATTTTGGAATGTTTTATCACGCTCTATAAATCAGCTGGAACACTAAACAACACTTTTAGTTGACATAATTTTAATAAACCACTGTACTGCATTAAAATTTATTTGGAGTAGTAAAGGAAAATTACTATGATTTTTGTTGTTGTAGCACTGTAGTACACTTGGTTTACTAAAGTAGACAGGCAAAAGCAAACAAATACAAAGTATCTGCATCATCCTTAAAATTTTATGAATATGGAAATGCTTTACTTTTGCCACAGAGCTTGTTGATCCGCCTTGCCTCACCCAGGCACATCAGGTGTCCCCAAAACCCAACATGACTTACAGAAATATTTTCAAATAATAAACATTCCCTTTTTGAGTGCTCTTTTGTTACAGGTACTCAAATTGCATTAAATAAGTGAAATGAACCATAAAACAAGGGTGTAATGTGATCCTGCTCTGTAATGCACTTCCTGGTGGGGTTCCATGGTAGTTCCTGGTACAGGAAACTACCAGCAATATCAGCTCTGTCAGAGCTCATTCAAGCTATGTTTTAGACTAAATTTCATAAAATACCCTTTTATTCTTAACTTGCCTTTTCATTGTTTTCTACCATCTTCCCCATGCCCTACAGTATCATTGCAATTGCTTTTCATTGAGCATCAAGACTGTAAACAAATTGCATAATAAAATTCTGTGTGGAAGATACAACTTACGCAACTGTATCAACATTTCTGTAGATTCTTAAAATAAAATTAGGAGTGACCTGCATATTTTATGCAAGCATTATACAGTAATTTAAAACTCCCCACTATTTAAACATATCTATGCATTTGTAGCAGTGCTTATAGTTTCCAGCTACTTTGGGTACTATTTAGATAAGTTTATTTCTTCCAGCTGTTGAGAGCTTACAAGGTAAATAAGTTATCTGTACTTCAGTGGGTAGGCATTCCTATTCCTACTCCATCTAGCTCTTATTATTCACAGTCTGTTTCACATTACAGAATATATGCTTTCAGTCAGCATAGTTAATTCAGATGTTTGATCTTTTGGTGAATTTTAAAATGCATAATTTAAAAACATATTTCACATAGAGATTTTGAAATAAAGGAAATGTGTTAATACTTTACAACAATTATCAAATCACTGTTGAGTAAGGTTTCTGCATTCACTTCAAAATCGAAGTATAATTTGAGAAATGTGTACTTATTAAATTCATTTTTTACTGTAACACTTTATCACCTAATTCTTTCATACTGTTTAGCAGGTTATTGCCCTTTCACTTTGATAAAGGCTCAAAGGATTTATTCTGGCAAAGGAACAAAAACATGGATTTATTTGGCAAAAAAAACCCAACTCATCCAGGTAGTGAATTATATACTACTGAATATTAAGATAAACCCAGTATTTTAACAAGATCATTTTGATTCCGATATTTTCAACACATGTCTAATGGGCTTTTGAAAACATGCCAAATCATATTTTAGACTTAAAAAGCAAGCCCTGGTGAAAGATGGCAATGATTCATCTTCAGATGCACATGTATGTAGGACACTCTACAAACTCAGCATTAATCAGTGCTCTGATTATCTGATTATTATTAATCTGAGACAAACCTGCAGTCGTTTTTTCTAGCATATTGACTTCTATTACTTGTCTGCTTGTATCACTCACAGGACCCCATGACAAACCAGTCAGAAGCAGTCTACTGACCAGACCTGAATATCTTAAGAGGATTAGAACAAGAGAAGGTGGCTTTCATTATGTGCTTTGATGCCCAAGGAGAAAATCAACAAGTGCATTTTCCTTCATAACATCTTTAGACCCCAGAGGTGGATCTGCCAACAGTGAACTGCTATGTCCTAGTCTCCTTTTTGGACTCCATTCATGTGGTAAAGTATGTGTACCACATCATATGGTGGAGGAGAGCCTCTTGTTTTTCCCAGTGTACACTACAGCAATTTATAATTATTTTTAAACCTACCTGTTAAATAATTTCCTTCTGTTAGATTGGTTACTTTTTTCCCCAGATGATTCTTTTCTTGGAACATAACATACAACGGTGTTTTTGTGCAACCAAACTACTAAACATTACCTATGCATATTTCATGTAATCATGTAATTGTCTGGGATGGGAAAGACCTTTCAGATCTTCCAGTCCAATTTTTAACCCAGCACTGCCATGTGTTCATCGCTAAACCATGTCCCTAAGTGCCACATCTATGCATCTTTTAAATACTTTCAGGGATGTTGGAGGTAACAGAAATTTAAGCTTGCTCAATAATTTATTTAACATAAATCAACATATTTTATGTTAACATATCAGCAACTAATACACAGGACATTACAGTCTATGTTGGCAATGTGCTACTCTTGTAAGGGGGAGACAATTAGAAAAACTGAGAAACTTTCAGGAACAGAAATCAAAACTCTACTTCCTCCAGCAGTACCAGCTGGCTAAACATCCTCAGTGGAATGGTTCTGATTTTGTATCAAATCTTGGTAGACTCTTACAAACTACAGTGATGAAAAACCTGGAATTATTAGAATACTGAAAGCCTTTAAATAAGTCAATGTAACAGAACTACTCCCATCTCCCAGCATCACAGCACACAGAAACCCCACTGGTGACAGTAGGAGCAATATGGTAAGAGTATACTCTAAGTGTACAAATGCTCTGAATAGAGTCAGGCATAGTCCCACATCTACCTTGATGAAAACCACCATGAGCTGCCATATCGTACTGAAAAGGTAATAATGTTGGTTTGAACAGTGAGATGAATGCATTGTCCCTTCTCCCATCAGCATTCCTGCAGTCTGTTGCCTGCTGCTGACTATAAGAGCAATACACCAGCAAATGAAACTTTCATCTTTTCAAAAGATAAGAAGCTTTGCTTTAGTGACTACACTGGCAACATGGCTCACTACAATGATATCTTAATTATACTCTGTTCCAGTCAAACACCATGCAGTGTCTCTGGTGACTCGTTAAAGGAATCTTAGCTCTGATTAAATCTTTGAAAACCAGAAAATACTGAAAACTGCACCATGCATCTATCTGTTTTTTTCTGGATGAGCAGATGTGAAAATTCTGAGCATTTGCAAAACAGCACCCAAGAAGGCAAATACAACAGGTCTTTGTTTCCCCCAGTTTTATTGTCCATGCATAAACACACTGAAAACACATCCAGTTACCATCTTAAAAGTGAGTAGTTCACAATGAATTCCAGAAAGCCAGTAAAACAAGTTAAGTGAACTAGTTCTAAACATATAATAGATGAGTCTGCAGGCCACATTACTAAGCTTTTATTAACTGTTATTACAAGAGATGTTTCAGTGACTATTCATCTTCAAAAATCAGTTTTTCACATTATATTTATGTCTTTTAAAGGAGAACAAAAGTATGCCTAGGGATACATGCAAAAACTTCTACTAGGCTAAACATCTACTATACTGAATGGTAGAAACTTGTCTATCCATTCCAGGTCTAATACAATAATCCAGTATTAAAGACAATTAATTTAGTAGCCTATTTATTTAAACAGTTGCAACCTGTTTGTTTTAAAAAAAATTATCAAGACTTATTATTAGGATTATTAATTTTGATTCTTCTACGCTTGCCTTATCCAAGATGTATTAACAATTCTTTTTATGGAAGTCTTTGAAAGATAAAGCACTCCCATAAAATATTGTCAATAGATTGAATGTAGTCCCTTAGTTGTTACCAGCTGAGAACAGTCTCTAAACTAAGACAATTTCCTTAACTAATTTACAGCAAAATTTGACACTAGCTTAAATGTAGTAACACAAAATAATGAAAACAGGTGAATCCTACTTCTGCTCTTCCGTTGCTCTATTGGCCCATCCTTTTAACACAGCATTTGTTTCTACTGGCAGAACACAGCTAGTATTAGCTCCACTGTACAATGGAAGAATATGTTGGCTATTAACTGCATGCCATCTACTAATGCAAATGCTTCATCCTTAATGCAAAATATCTTCATATGCTACAGCTACATTAAGGAAATAAATCTGTTTGCCAACACTGTAGTAATAGAAGTTCTTGTTTCTTAAAAAAAAATTGCTACAGATGTTTTCATTTGAGGGTATCAATAAATAAATAGAATAATAATTACCATCATTTTGGAAAGAAAGGAAACTAAGACACCTAATGGCTAAGTGACACAGTCACATAATGACTATGTTCACAGTCAAACACATGTTTGTACAACACAGAGGGAAAACTACACTGATGAGTTGTTCAGCACCCTTTTCATTAGATTACACTGGCCAATCATGGCATTTACACCAATATACCAAAGTACAATGCATAAGCTGTCAACGGACTAAGAAAAAAAGACCATATTTTCATTTTAACATTCCTAGATTGCATTATCTTTCAAAGTCAACATGAAAATTGCTAGTCATGTATTTGCATGTTCAATACACCCATGCAGAGCAGCACAGGGCAGAGTATGAAGGTGCATAAATAAGAATTGTGTTTTCTGACAATTAAACCATAGCGCTTCTCATAACTAGCTTCAAAATTCATCTGCAATTTCTTGAAGGATCCTATAGTAAACTATGATTAAGATATGAATTTCCACTAAATCATTCACATTCCACTAAATCATTCCACTAAATGATTCACATCTGAAGAGTACATCTTAGTATTTGGAAAACTCTTCTGAAAGAAGAAGTAGTAGATCAGTAGAGAGAGCCATTATAGACAGACATTATACAGAATAGGAAATCTCACTATCAAGGTATTCAAGGTAAATAACAAGTGGCAATAACATGGATA